TACGGTTGAAAACAGACAATACATCGTCAGAGTTAGCACATTTATGTTATCCCATGGTTGTAGTATTTTTTTCAAATCTTTGTACGTTTCGTGTACTTGCCGGGTAATTCAATATTGGTTGTTTTTCACCCACCTTGCTGCTATATTTGACCAAAGATTTTATCCAGACCTATACCATATCTGTATCTTGGGCCATGTAGATTTATTGTTATATATCCGAATGGAACAGCGTGTGATTTTGAGAAGAAAAGCAATTAAACTTAATCATGTCAATATCCCATGAACACCTAGTGTAATAAATATTGTATAAAGTATAATTATCTAATCCATTAGATACAACTAAAATAGTGCAGTTATCTCTGTTTACTTTAGGTATTTGTTTTTGTCGTTGTGTAACATAAATCACGCCAGTCTTTCTTTATGTTTACCTCGAGAAAATATTCTAGCTTGATTTGATCGTTTGTCCAGCATGACATCTTGATATACTACGAGGTTATTAATAAATCTATCTAGGTCATCAACAGATGGAGATTCATCAATATCGGTGATAAAATCAATAATATCGTTTTGGTCTTCGTCCAATATTTTTGCATTTTTATGAAAATATTTAAGTTTTTCTTAACATCGTTGTTCATCTACAGCTGGTACTATTTAATATAATTTATTGCACTCGAGCCATCGCATTATCAGGTTAAGTAATAATTGTGTTTTTAGAACTAAAAACTGTTTTTAAAACTGTGTCCAGATAGAACTATTATAATCTTTCTGATATAATCTGTCAGTGCTGGATGATGTTTTCGTTCTTGTTAATAAACCTGGTTCTTGTTTTCGTGTCACTGAGAAGTCATTTATATCCATATAATGAATAATATGAATATATATTGTTTTCGATGCAGAGTACCACGTCCACCACTGGATTAAGAAACAATAACAGCAACAAAGAAAAGACGTGCTATTACAATCAAAGATGTAAAATGTGGGGGAAATATAAATTTATTTCATCGACAAAGACAAGTGCAGATATTACTGCTTAATTATGAAAATTACCAGAGTTCTATGGGCTAAATACCCCGGTGAGAAACATCTTCCTGGCTATAATTATTGTGGTCTTGGAACTCGACTTAATATTCGATTTGATGATCAAGATCAACCAAGACCAGAAGAGCATCCAATAAATAAGATTGATCAAGCATGTCATGTTCATGATGTTGCTTACAAAAGTAAAGATTTAAAAAACGGCATCTCGCTGATGTGAAATTGATTCATGCGTTAAATTATATTTCTAATAAATCTCTCAGAGAAAAAATTGCTATTTTTTAATATAATCTGCTATGAAAGGTATATTAATTGTTACGATCCTGGAGTTAAAGTATGTGTTAAGGAATCAATTTTGTATAAATCTTTTTATTTCATTATATTTCATTAATATTGTCTAACATGTTTTTGATAAGTGTTTACTTGAGTCGTACATGTGACTCATGTTAGCACGTGCTGTGTATGATAGCAAATTCATTACAAATAAACATTCAGGAGTAGCCACGAAAACGATTGGTTGATACTGGGTCAGGATTTCCTGAATGTCCAGAAGTACTACGAAATTGCATGCGACTTTGTGCGCGTACAATTCATACAAAGCATTAGCTTTCATATATATGCTTGAAATTTTGTGATTCATACACAGTCACGGACAGACTGTCCTGGTCGAGAGTCAACAGTCACGGACAGATTTTCGTAGTCGAGTCTCTTATACAACTTCTAATTTGTTGTGCCAGAAGAAGTTGTCCGTATGTCTACGTAAAAAAAACATGCCGTGTTAGAGGAACTATTTTCACTTCGTCTTTATAATTATTTTCCTAGAGAACAACATTACGTATTTGGACATTTTCTCCCTAATATTGGAACTGGACAACACATACATTGTTTACTGTGTAAATTCTGGAATTTGCTGTTAGTCTTCGTCTGACGTGGTCAAACGCCATTTTGGACCAGAACATCATACACTTTCAGACTGTGCTTAAAACTCTTTACAGGACTTAAATTTTTATTTTGAACAAAATTTTGGATCATTTCTGTAAACCGTAAGTCTTACCAAAATTATTTACATTATTTTATGAGTTCTAGTAAAATAAATTATATCATTGCTAAAACATATAAAGCATCTTGTATTCACTCTCTTTTATGTTACTTAGAACGAGCCGTCACGTAACATAATGCTAGGGGTTGGAAATTAATTATATCATTATTATAATGGAATCTATTTATTATAGTCCAAGAAGATATTGGAGAGGCAGAGCAGCTATTAGTAAACTTGTTGAAGCAGCAGAAGTCTCGTATTCTATTCTTGCAATTGGTTAGTACGAGGCCAATATGGCAAATTTATGGAAAAAATTCTGTACGCACATTTTGATGTTAACATCCCTAATGGAGTTCATCGAGCAGATATTTTCTTTTTACCTCATGATACTATTAAAACACGTGGACGTCAATCACGCAAATATAAATAAGCATTGACTATTGTTGACGTTACAATTAAATATAAAGAGGCGAGCCGTTATCAACAAAGAAAGCAAGTGAAGTTGCATCGGTGTTTAAATGAATTTATCTTTGAGGATCCGGATCACAAGGTAGTACACGATGGCCACAATTATAACAAGTTGATCCTGGCAAAGAATTTCTTAGTGCAGTATTATCGTTGATGAAAAAACAAAGGTTAAAATCAGTTGAGGACATATTGAAATTCATCGTGATCAGGCAATCGTTGAATGATTTAATCGAACACTTGCTGAGCGGTTATTTAGATATCAATTTGCAAGAGACATATCCAATGACTTTAAATCCGGGGAAAGATCACGGTTACCAAAGGTGAAATCTGCATTAAATAATGAAATTACTAGTGCAAAAAATATATACCAATACGCCAACATGAATTTTCCTCTCAACTAGAAATGAGGTAATGTAATTGTAAGATAATTTTATGAACCTGGTGAACTTGAAGGTGGTAAAAAGAGCAACTGATCCTATCTGGAGCGTGACTACACATACAATTTTGAGCGTGGTAAAATCCACATGCAGATCTGCAATCTACAGACTGGATTCGACTGCTCATCAATATGGATTTGTAAGTGAACAATTGCAAGTAATTCCCGAGGACAGAAAATTACCACCACCTTCATTTATGTAAAGTAGAACCTCTACGTCTATTACATTCAAGACACGTCAGCAACACATTTTCACGTGTATGACAATGATCACTATTAATTCTGTCTACGGTAAATTGTCTTTGATTACTATTCGAGTGTTTCCATAACATTATTGTGTTACACTTGCACAATGATTATTCTGTGGTTGTTTTAGTGTTATAATAAATTCATTATCAATATCAAATTCACGCTTCTCATTGTTGATAACCCGCCAATTGTTTCTTTATGGTAACAGGGTAGTTAGTGATTTCTTCAATTTCCACGTAATCTGTAATAACTATGCAATTTAGATATTCTTCTGACTCGAGACAGAGCGAGGTAAATTAAATCTGAATCTGACCATTCTATTTGATCATCTACAATCCAGATATTTGTATCAGAAATAGTTAATCACTGTGACGAATGAATCGTTATAGAGTACCCTAGCGTCCGTGGTGATTTATCCATGCTTAATACACTCTCAACAGCATATACAGCAACCAAGTCATTCAGTACAAGGTTTTGCATTCCACCACCAGGAATTTCAACATCAATATTCTGTCGTCTAGTATCTGCTGGGCGATAACGGACCGGTATAGGCAGATTTGAAAACTTTTCTTTATGTAACAGAAAGAATTTTTTCTGCAGTTCGTCACGAACTATTTTTCTACTTGCGAATATCAGTTCAGAAGGTCTCCATAAATTCAAAAAATCATTAATTGTAGTTCTGGAATTACTTTACTCATTATCTCAAATTATATTTTAACTGACTGTTTGATTAACATTTGACGTTCTTTAAGTGGTTCATCAATAGCTCTATGGTCACAATTTATTTCTTCATTAAAATCTACATTATTATCTGGCAATTCATGTGGAAACTGTCCAGGAAAGAATGGTGGTTGATCATGATCGCCACACATTATTACAGCATTATTTTTATTCAATAACCATTTAAGGCATATTTTTAGTATTTCCAACAACACCTTGTCCACCTCGTCACATATACTTACGCATATATTTCTCACCCATTCGCTTTGGATTCCATGTGTCTCCGCACCATCTAACTTTAAATTATAATATTTACATGATTTACACCTCGTTCTTTTGTTTTTATGGCGAATTTATGTGTAGATTTCAAAACAATTATATCCGAATGGTTGTTCAAAAATTATTTAATCATGCGAGTTGTTTTACCTAAACCACCACATCCATTAGGATAAACGGTCTTTTGTATAACTACAGGATCATACACAGATGGTGCAGATGACTTTGATACTTGATTATTATTTTTGTAATATATTTCCTTAATTTCAACATCAGTGTCACGTTCCATTTTGATAGAATCAAAAACATTATCTTTCTCAATTGCATTACACTATTGTCCAGTCTTTCTTATTTCCTACTCATGAGAAAATTCATTTTTTTTTTCGATTGAACGTGCAAGGATTATAACACACTTGAAACAGTAGTTTTACAATTCTATAATTGGAAGGTAATGTGTATTTATCCTCGAAATTTTCTTGTTATAATGATTCAAAATTGCATATAAAGTTTTGAGGATCAAGATTATCAGATATGTGATGTGATGTGATTATGATTTTTAACGTAACTTGAACAATTTTTCAGTCATATCGCTACGATGTCTGCAGTGTGGCAGTTTATAGTTATGTCTAGCACTGGGGCATTATGCCGCATACATGTAGCATGATGTTCCACCAAGTCACATTATCCTGACACCAGGTCAACCAGTCCTAACACTAACCTCTTAATGCCGAGCGTCAAACGAGGCAGCAGTTAGTACCATTTTGTAAGTCTTTGGTATGACTCAACTGGGGATCGAACCTACGACCTCCAACATCCGAGGCGGACGCTCTAACCACTAGGCCACACAGCGAGTCTACACTGTGGCTCTAAAAGCTAAACTGTTACCCCTCGGCCACCAGATCTCTTATGAATATATAGATAAATTTTAAGTATATAACTATTTGCACTGTCTCACATGTGATTACTCTGGAATTGTATTTACTAACGTGTTCTGATTCTGAATAAAATTAGTTATTATAACGCAGTAGTGTGGATTTATTTCATAAAGTGAAATATTTTAATTCTACACAGGAAGTCCGGAACTTGAATAGTACATTCAGATCAATATAACATACCACACATTGTACGTGCAGATATATAGCATACAACAGCGTAATGAATATACATGTAGTCATTTAGTGTAGAACTAAAGCGTGGACTTACTGCAATATTCAAACATAATTCATCAAATATACTGTAAAAAATAATTACACATCACATTTTCTGTATGAGTTAAAATATATATGTTCATAAGATTATTTGGTTAAAATACATAGAGCAAAACATAATTTTGATTTGTAATTCAAACCCATTTGTATAAATCGACGTGAATTTAAGGTTATCAGAGTCAAAATATACATCAATAACCCTCTCTCGTATAAATTGCAGTTTCATTAATAACTTTTTGCTTATAGAGAACAAAAAAAATCACTGTTAAATCCCAGAATTTTAAATGTTGGCAGCTGTTCTTCTGTAACTCCAAAAATTCAAAAAATAAACGTTTATAATTCGCACGCTGAATTGGTCGGTTTCATTAACTATGTAAATACTAAAAATCTACTGGTGCTTTTAATGTTTTTCCCCTATCAACAAATGCTTTATTTGCATACTCATAAGTCACTGGATTCAAATGTTGTATTGTTTAAATTATATGTTGTTTTAAATCATCGTCATGCAAGTGGTGATGCTGAAAAATAAATTTCTTAGATCATTCAGTACATATTCATGTGCCATTCTTACCCTGAATGAAATCTATCAAATTAGTACTATATGCATAATAGCGGTGATCTTGATTCTCTATAAATGGATAAGTTTTTCGATTATCTGGGACTTTTGATCGTCGACGTATATGCGGTTGGTTGTCCATGGCTATAATTTTCTTTCGATTCATGAAAATGTTTCCCGTGAATGAATCACCAGATTTCTTGATATAATCGTAAACTGACTTACCGGAGTCTTGTATTTAACCCTGATCAGTAAAAAAAAAAACGATATTATCAACAACTGCGTTAGGAATTCGTACGAGTACATCTGACAGTTGTATATTGTCATTAATCGTCCTTGTTTATCCTGAAGAAGTAATGAATTCAATTTAATCCACACTTGTAATATTTAAAATATCATCAATCTGTTTAGAGTGAAAATTAGTTCTTGCTACTTCATGAGCCTTTTTAACCCCTATACAGAGATACAGCCAAGAGGCTTGAAATCTTCATTTCTAAGAAGTTTCTTTTTTTTATACAAATTCAATGATCCACAGCCAATATATTCAAAAAATACCTCAAAAGGACGTAAACCTAATGATTCTTGAACTGACTCCCTAACATCAAACAACATTCATCCCAATAATATTAGGTATCAAAACAATATGGCCGAATTATATTCATCAGCGTTTAATAAAATATTTCTTAAAACATGTGACTTTAAGGATGATAGGTGGAAGGTTTAAACTATTGGATGTCTAATTTATGCATACCTTGATGGAAATTGTAGTCATAAAATTTGAACCTTAACAGACTGGACAGGTTTGGAAAGGCTACAAAGTGTCAAAACCCAATCCAAAACAATAAAAGTTCTTGATTAAAGCTTTTGCTGTGGTTTCAGTTTTAATATTTCCCACCTCTGGAAATCACATTACGAACAAGAAGTATCGGTTGCTGTACTTAATATTATGTAAGGTACCAACAGAGTCTAAATTTATCCCACTAAATGGTTCTTTAAATGCAGGACCCAGTTGCAAATGAGCCTTGGGTATCTTCATATTATATTTTCCTGATATTTGAAAAGTCTTATAAATGTTGCAGTACTTACAAATATCACTTTTGATTTGCGGTAAATAAAAATGATTCAAGATCTTGTGATAAATTTTAGTGACTCCTAAATCACCAGCCAATTAAGTTTCATGCACTAGACACAGACTTTCTTGTTGATATGACTTGAAGACGAAAATGTGATAGCTCACTGACAACTCGTTACCAGCGGGTACTTAGGTGGTCACTGTTTTCTAATAAGGACCCCATTTTTCATAACAACAAAAAATTGTTACTTGTGTGGCTTCAATCCTGCTAAAAGCCCTTTCAAACTAAGAAAGAGATCTCTAGATCTTGTTTCTGTTCGTCAATAAGTGATTGTCGTCTGTTGCTATAATTAGAGTAGAAAGGAATGAATAGTGGAATAATGTGATCGAAATCTGATCATGACTATGGACCAAAAGTGACCTCATTAAAAAATTGCCCAATAAAGGTGTTAGCTAATGCAGTAATTATCTCATCAGAATAATTCTCAAGAGCTTTTTTTGTGGTAGCTTTGGTAATTGCACAAGCAAGATACAAAATCATGGATTTCAATATCAACAAGATCAACATTTGTTCCAAAACAAGACTTGTTAGTTACAAGATAATTAACCACAACCTATCTCCAGCTAAACAATTACCTAGTAATAAATAATTAAAAAGGTAAAAAGAAACCATCATTGGTCCAATTTATGACGGTAAACAAATTGAGCATGATGACACATGGGACCGGAACAATAAGTCGCACTCTACTTCCTAATATTGAACATTTTTACTAGAAGATCTCTCAGATAAAAGCAATGTATCTGGTAACAAAAGACTGAGAACCTCGTGTGTCGCTTAATATTTGAATAGAGATATGCTTATCAAAATCACCAACAGAACCTTTCAACGTGAATCTTTCATAATTTTTCAAAATAGAATCAGTCTGGTGTTTGTTTGACTGGGGCAAAATATTGGTTTCAATACAAAACCGTGACTTTGACCACCTTAAAAAAAGAGCATGTATAATAACTCTATATTGATTATGTTGCTTATTTTCAACCTGTAGCAATCATAAATTACGTGATCTTTCCTCTATCAATAAGTACAATAAGGAATTGAAAAGGATTTCTGATTAGTCTTGTCACATGTTTGATTTTTAAAAGTTGTGCCAGACTGATATTTGGAAGTACTCGTATGAGACTGAGATACTTTTGTGCCCAAAACCTGCTGAAAGGAAGGATTATCGACAAATAAATCTATGCGAATAAATATCAGCTATACAAGCAACAAACAATTTCTAAAATTGTGACCTCATTCAGATAGGTATTGACATCAGTATGGATAAAATTTGTAAACTTTTCAGTTATTAGGATCTTCCCCGAAATGTCGCAATGTTTATCAATCTTTTCAGGTTGAGTACCACCTGTCAAGTAGTTGTTCTTGTCCATGAAATTTCAACATGGGTTTGTCCAGTTTCTTTTCTACAACTCCTCAACCATTGCCGATATGCCTTGGATACCAACTCATAACCCTCAGTGAGGTGTATGCAGACTTCACAAGCTTTCTGTAATAACAAAGTCCAATGCTCTCTTGGCCATTTCAAGTTTTCAGCAATCTTATCAAAATGAGGAAAGTGTTATTCTACTTCCTTTTCTAAAGAAGGCAAAAACATTATATTTCTGGTAACATCAATATCTGAAATTGTAAAAGAAAGGGGGCGTATGCTTCGCCTACCAGTTCAAACTTTTAAATATTTATTACATTATCCTTTCTTATCTCCACATTTACATTTTAATTTTCCTCTCATCTTTTTCTCTCTGCATCTGTCTCCCCTTTTCACCTCTCTGAATCTGAACTTCTTTCTATCTCTGTCTGTCTTTATGTATCTCTCTCTCTCTCTCTCTCTCTCTCTCTCTCTCTCTCTCTCTCTCTCTCTCTCTCTCTCTCTCTCTCTCTCTCTCTCTGTGCATTTTCCTTTCATTTTCATCTTTCTGTATCTTTTCTTTCTGAAACTAAAATTGTGTTGATTCCAATTCCATCTGGTTCACTAACTATAATTCCTTTAATTTATGTTAAAAACCAGAGATATAATAATCAAACACAAAACAATATCAGTAATAATTTTATTGCCCACGAAATACTGAATCAAAATATTCTTTATTTCCAGCTTTGTTAAAGACGCTTTTACTTCCGAAATATCATGATGTTTGACAAGCTCAAGCAACTCGTCCTTTTTCATACACTTGAACCCCTTCTGGGCAAGATTTGAAACTCGAAATTAGATGATATTGAAAATGCTTTTTTATTTAAGTAAAATTGTATTAGATGTGTGAAAGTGTAATTAAATTCAATTTGTTGCATGATGTCTCTGAAGTATTTTAAGGATATTCAGATTCCGGACGAGCCCCCATTTCAGTCACCACTCTATGGTCTTAAACTAAATAATAGATAAGATGTGAAACTAACAAGGTAAGTAAAATTCAACAATAATTTATTCCCCAGAAAACAAAGATTTTTTTAAAAAAAAACAAAAAAACTTATAGTAGATTCGAAAAAATCTCAGATGTCCTATCCAAAAATATAGATCGTTTTGAATAAATTTGAACATATCTCGAATGCCCTGATGTACGTAACAAAACGATATAACCCAGAATGTACTTGAACGATTTCTCTATAGTTCGAAAATTGTGTTTAAGTGAAAAAAGTAAATGAATGCTTTGGAATTCCAATGAATAATTTAAATAAATAATTCCTCCCAATTTATATCTAAAAACATCTGTAAACTCAGATTCTAAATTCACAAACACTCATATGAAACAGGAATAAATAACTCTTTACCATATCCCTTTTAAATACAAATACTCACTTCACCTACGTTTTAATAGACTGATCTGGAATTTCCTAGATGCGAATCATCTCTAATGGAAAATTACATGAAATTGTAAACAATTTCTTTTCCAGAACATTCTAAGCTCGTATAAAGTTTTTGAATGACTCTGTCTCAAAAGATATTAGATTTCGTATTTAAAACTCCAAAG